AGAAGTTTGCACTTGGCCAAGTTTGTCCGCAACGATGGGTGTTTCGTAGAATCTGACGGGAGACAGAGGACATTTTTTTTTGCCAAATTTCAAACTGAAATTCAGCGACACTCATGGATTATTCTAAAAAATTTGACAATGCGTTCAAATTGTAAATACAAACAAACGTTTTTGCATATTTTTGTGCATCTTCAGGTTTCAAAAATCTAGACTATCTGTACAAAATGTTCAAAGATCATAAAGAGTGTCATAGACATCATTATTTCAAAAATTAAAACTCAACCAGTGACAAGAATTGAAAAGAGAAAGAAAGAAAATTATTAACATCTGAAAATAACATCAGATGTACTAAAAATAAGGAACTGTGATAAAATGATGAAGTCTAATTTTCATGTTAGCATGAAAATTAGCGACAAAACGAAATTCTAAGAACAAAAAGGTGAAAACTCTCAAACTTTTGTGACAAAAGGTTTAAAATTGTTACATAATAGTTCTTCTTTAATTGCAGTATTATTTGTAAAGTTTTGATTCGTTGGATTTGTTAAATTTTGCAATAATTGTTTTCATTATAAAAATTTATCATTATCTTTGATGATTTTGTACAGATAGTTTAGAAACTTTAAAACCTGAAGATGCACAAAAATGTGCGAAAACGTTTGTTTGAACTTACAATTTTAACGCATCCTCAAAAAATTTAGATGTAATATTTTGAAACCCTTCGGCGTTGGACCTAATCTCAATTACAGACTCTCCTACAAGGAGACGTAATTTTTTTTCCTTTATTTAGTGGAAAAGTTTTTTTAGAGGAAGAATCTTTTAATATTCTACCATGTTAGAATTGGAATGGTCTACAACCTAGCGGCTAGCTACCTCTACCACAGCCTGGAACAACTTAGCAACCCGGAAAAAGAACAATTTGTGCGCAAATTTTTGGCTATTCCGGGACTTTCCTTAAGCCCGAACACCTCGAACCCACAGATGAACCTCGCAAGCCTACTCTGCAGGGAACCTCTAGCAGAAAAACATCAAGTGGTGGTGTGGCACGACATCATCAATAATTCTATCAACAGCCACCGCACAAACAACTACAGAGCTTGCACTGCAGAGGAATTGACAGAAATCCTGAAGACACAAATATCAGTGCAATTGTATACTGTCAGAGAAACGTTACAACATATATCAGGAACCAGCTGATCAGCTCGGGTATTCTTGTCTTTCATATTACGAGGTGTATCATTTCAAAGGGGAAGAGAAAAACGGAGCTGGTCAACGAATATCAGGCACTGCACCAGGTCGTCGACCTGGAGCTAAAGTCTTTGCGGATTGTGTTCGAACACCAAGACAATCTGCCAGCTGTTTTGCCCAAGCTTCGTTCAAACACATCTCAATCGAGAAGGAGGGCAGATAGAAGAAGACTGGTGAACAGAGACGAGGAAACTGTTGGTCCGACTGACGAGGAGTCTTCAACGGAGAGGGTGAGTTACAGTTGTGTTATTTGTGTCGCTTTGTGTCACGTGAGATTTATTCCTCGTGGCCTGCAAACCAACGAGCATAGTTGTACTCCCACCTCCAATCTTGATTTGGACTTTAAAAAACATACTCATTTGGAAATTAGTCCGTGATTATGCGTCCATTTATGTTAAACTTATCAACTGTCACCAACGTGTTAAATTTTTGAGAGTTTGTCTAGAAAACGACATTATAACTGGTTTTTGAGATTCAGGGTACCGGAAAATGGGGTGTTTTCGAAGCAAGCGGTTTGCCATTTTCAGAAAAAATTTCTAAGAACGGTGACTAACGAGGCAAGGACAGATGAGAAAAACGTTGAAGTCAAACTAGAAAGGGCGAGAGGCGCAGTATATAGGGGTGTAAATGAGAAATTTTGGCCTTCATTAATGCAATACTTGAGTCTTAGGGGAGAAAGACAAACAACAACAGTCAAAGAAACCCATCAGAAGAAGCTAATGAAACTATCAGAAAGGCAAGACCGACCTCTAGGGAAGCCAGGTGAGGGTTCGGTAAGAGCTCTTGATGATGTTGAATTACCAAATTGGGTACAACAAGTGTTGACATTAGGGCCAAAGCATCCCGTCATGGATAAATTTAATGAGACACACTTTCTCGCCGATATTGACGTCTTTCTATCGGATTTAAAAAATCGTAAAGTCACCGGGGAGGCCCTTTGTGAGATCGAAGCTGTAGCAAAAGCCTATGCTAAAAGAGTGAAACAAACACCATCTGACAAAGGCGTTGAGAAGGCCCGAAATAATCTGAAGAGTAATGGATTAGTTGCGGTACCGTATGACAAGGACATATGTTTTTGTGTAAGGAGGAAGGACCCCTACGTAAACAAGTAGTCGGATACATTAGAATCAAATCACTTCAGCGAAAGTAAAGGAACAAGTGATGCGACTATTTTGAAGATAGAAAGATACATCAATAAGGAGTTGTTGGCTATTAGGAAAAAAGACGAAATAAGGGAGAATCTCTACACAAGGATGAGGTATACTGGGGGGCAGCCCGCCAGGCTTTATGGGTTGGCGAGGGTGCATAAAAAGAATACCCCGTTAAGACCGGTCCTCTCATTGCCTGGTAGCTCTCATTCTAACTTGAACAAGGTTCTTGCAAAATTTGCAATAGATGCGAGAGAAATCTTAGAGAGCACTAATCTTGAGCCCAATGAAAATTTGATGTCTCTAGATGTGAAGAGTTTGTATACATAAGTTTCTTTGAAAGAAGCAATAGACATAGCTCTGAGAAAACTGTATGAGCAAGATGAGCCACCATCACTTGCTAGGAAAACCATGAAGAGACTGTTGAACATAGCAGTTAGTCAAGTCCATTACAAGGGCAATGAATCATGGTACGCTTAGAAAGATGGTTTGGCAATGGGGGCATCTATTGCCGTTGTTTCAGCAAATCTACCGCTGAAGCAGTACGAAACTGCGCTATCAAGGGACAACCCCGAATTGTTAAAGATCTTAACGGAATATGTCCCAGGGAGGGCAAAAACAAAAAGAACAACATGGCTGAGAAAAAGAAGTCTTGTGATTATAGCAGTGATTCACCACCCATCTTCATGGTCCAATAAAGGGGAGAATCACAGTCAGATACATGTAAATTTTGAAACAACTTACATGTTAGCATAAAAATTAGCCACAAAACGAAAATGTGAAAATAGAAATGAAGAAAACTCTCAGAAATTTGTGACAAAATGTTTTAAAATGTTACATAGTAGTTGTTACATTACTTCAGTGATATTTGTAAAGTTTTAATTGGTTGAATTTTTAAAATTTTGAAGTAATGATGTGTGTGACACTTTTTATGATCTTTGATCATTTTGTACAGATAGTTTAGAATTTTTAAAACCTGAAGATGCACAAAATGTGCAAAAACGTTTGTTTGAATTTACAAATTTAACGCATTCTCACAGTCAGATAGCAGCATAAAAAAAGTGCGCGATACCACCAATGCGCAGATAATATTCACGACGAGGAAAATGAACTTGTATGCCCTCTCTAAAATCCTCCTTTTCCAGTGAACTGAAATCAAAAATGGTGTACAGACTTGAATGTTGTGGGTGAAAATCCATCTACACGCGCGACGAGTTTAGAAGTAGGAAGATGTAAAATTTTCAAACCCTACGGCGTTGAGCCAATCCTCAATTACAGTCTCTCCTACAAGGAGACCTAATTTTAAATTTATTTTTCCCTTGTTTTAGTGGAGAAACCTTTTTAGTTAAAAAGTCTTTCTATATTTTACCATGTTAGAATTGAAATGGTCTACTTTGTAGCAGCTAGCTCACTCTACCACAGCCTGGAACAACTTAGCAACCCGGAAAAAGAACAATTTCTACCCAAAATTTTGGCTATTCCGGGACTTTCTTTAAACCCGAACACCACGAACCCACAGAAGAACCTCGCAAGCCTACTCTGCAGGGAACCTCTAGCAGAAAAACATCAAGTGGTGATGTGGCACGACATCATCAATAATTCTATCAACAGCCACCGCACAAACAATTACAGAGCTTGCACTGCAGAGGAATTGACAGAAATCCTGAAGACACTGACAAATATCAGCGCAATTGTATACTGTCAGAGAAACGGTATACCGGATATCAGGAACCAGCTGATCAGCTCGGGTATTCTTGTCATTCCTATTACAAAGTGTCTCATTTCAAAGAGGAAGAGAAGAATGGAGCTGGTCAACGAATATCAGGCACTGCACCAGGACGTCCAGCTGGAGCTAAAGTCTTTGAGGATTGTGTTTAAACACCAAGACAACCTGCCAGCTGTCTTGTCCAAGCTTCGTTCAAGAAATCTCAATCGAGAAGGAGGGCGGAGAAAAGAAGACTGGTGAACATAGGCGAAGCAACTGTTGGTCGGACTGACGAGGAGGCTTCAACGGAGAGGGTGAGTTACAGTTGTTTATTCCTCGTGGCCTGCAAACCAATGAGCACAGTTGTACTCCCACCTCCTTTCTTGATTTGGACTTTGAAAAACAAACTCATTTGGAAATTAGTCCGTGATTATGCGTCCATATATGTTAAATTTATCAACTGTCACCAACGTGTTAAATTTTTGAGAATTTGTCTAAAAAACGATATTATACCTGATTTTTTGAGGTTCAGAGTACGGGAAAATGGGGTGTTTTCGAACCAAGCGGTACACAGTTTTCAGACAAAACTTCTAAGAACGGAGATAAACAAGGCAAGGACAGATGAGAAAAACGTTGAAGTCAAACTAGAAAGGGCGAGAGGCGCAGTACAGAGGGGTGTAGATGAGAAGTTTTGGCCTTCGGTAATTAAATATTTAAGTCTTAGGGGACAAAGACAAACAGCAACAGTCAAAGAGACCTATCAGAAGAAGCTAATGAAACTATCAGAAAGGCAAGACCGACCTCTAGGGAAGCAAGGTGAGGGTTCGGTAAGAGCTCTTGATGATGTTGAATTACCAAGTTGGGTACAACAAGTGTTGACATTAGGGCCAAAGCATCCCGTCATGGATAAATTTAATGAGACACACTTTCTCGCCGACATTGACATCTTTCTATCGGATCTCAAAAATCGTAAAGTCCCCGGGGAGGCCCTTTGTGAGATCGAAGCTGTAGCCAAAGCCTATGCTAAGAAGGTGAAACAAACACCATCTGACAAAGGCGTTGAGAAGGCCCGAAAGTATCTGAAGAGTAATGGATTAGTTGCGGTACAGTATGACAAAGGCGTGGGTTTTTGTGTAATGAGAAAGGACACCTACGAGAACAAGTTGTCGGATACATTAGATTCAAATCAATTCAGCAAAAGTAAAGGAACAAGTGATGTGATTGTTTTGAAGATAGAAAGAGACATCAATAAGGAGTTGTTGACTATGAGGAAAAAAGATGAAATAAGTGAGAGTCTCTGCACAAGGATGAGGTCTACTGGGGGGCAGACCGCCAGGCTTTATGGGTTGGCGAAAGTGCATAGAGTGAATACCCCATTAAGACCGGTCCTCTCCTTGCCTGGTACCTCTTATTCTAATTTGAACATGGTTCTTGCAAAATTTGCAATAGATGCGAGAGAAATCTTAGAGAGCACTAATCTTGAGCCCAATGAAAATTTGATGTCTCTAGATGTGAAGAATTTGTATACATATGTTTCTTTGAAAGAAGCAATAGACATAGCTCTGAGAAAACTGTATGAGCAAGATGAGCCACCATCAATTGCTAGGAAAACCACGAAGAGACTGTTGAACATAGCAGTTAGTCAAGTCCATTACAAGGGCAATGAATCATGGTACGCTTAGAAAGATGGTTTGGCAATGGGGGCATCTATTGCCGTTATTTTAGCAAATCTTTGGCTGAAGCAATACGAAACTGCACTATCAAGGGATATTCCCGAAATGTTTTTGCCCGAGAAAGATCTTCACGGAATATGTCCCGAGTGCAATAAGAAAGTCACGTACATGTCTTAAGGTGTAGAATGTGAATGCTGTTTGAACTGGTATCACGTAAAATGCGGTGATATATCAGATGATGAGTACCGAAATATAAGTGAAACCGTCTGGTACTGCAGAAAATGCATCACAATTAGGGAGAAAAATAAGTCAGGGCAACTATCTAAATTGTTTCTCCGTTACGTTGATGATATAGTGAGAACAGTGAAGGGTGATCCTGAAAAAGTGCTACGGGCTGCAAACTTGCTACATCCAAATTTACAGTTCACAATAGAGACACCAAACACTAACGGAACTTTGGCATTTTTGGATTTACAAATTAGTATTGACAAAAGCCGGAAAATTAGTTGTGGGTGGTATCAAAAACCAACAGATACAAGTACCATACTCAATTTTAGAAGCTGCGCCCCCCTTCAGTACAAGAGTAGTTTGATTGAAGGAACTGTTCACTGGGTTTTCCGCAGTACGTCAACATGGGAAGAATATGATAAAGCCCTGAAAATCAACCATGAGCAGTGGTTGGATAACCAATATCCGGAAACATGGTCGTCGCGGGTTGCATCCCATGCCCTTGAAAAGATCATCAGCGAGGGCAAAAACAAAAAGAACATGGCTGAGAAAAAGAAGCCCTGTGATTATAGCAGTGATTCACCACCCATCTTGATGGTCCAATATAGGGGGAATCACAGTCAGACATTAGCAAAAAAAGTGCGCGATATCACCAATGCGCTGATAATATTCACGACGAGGAATTTGAAAACTTGTATGCCCTCTCTAAAATCCTCCTTTTCCAGTGAACTGAAATCAAAAGTGGTGTACAGACTTGAATGTTGTGGGTGCAAATCCATCTATGTTGGCCAGACGGTTCGACATCTCACCACAAGGATTGAGGAACACCGAAAAGAGGATACCCAGTTGGACAGCATATAACGCAGTGTGCTAGTGAGCGTGGTAAGTCTGAGTTTAATTGGAAAATAATCGACCAGGCGTCCAGCAGCATCAAGTTACTTACATTAGAGGCGCTGCACATTAGGAAAGAGAGACCGGCAATTAACACGCGCGACGAGTTTGGAAGTAGGGAGCTGACACTAAGGCTATAGTTCCAGAATCGAAAAATTCTGGCTAAAACAACAAAATTTTGAAACAACTTACATGTTAGCATAAAAATTAGCCACAAAACAAAAATGTGAAAATAAAAATGAAGAAAACTCTCAGAAATTTGTGACAAAATGTTTTAAAATGTTACATAATAGTTGTTACATAATTTCAGTGATATTTGTAAAGTTTTGATTGGTTGAATTTTTAAAATTTTGAAGTAATGATGTGTGTGACACTTTTTATGATCTTTGATCATTTTGTACAGATAGTTTAGAATTTTTAAAACCTGAAGATGCACAAAATGTGCGAAAATGTTTGTTTGAATTTACAATTTTAATGCATTCTCAAAAAATTCTGGCTAAAACAAAAAATTTTGAAATAATTTACATGTTAGCATAAAAATTAGCCACAAAACGAAAATGTGAAAATTGAAATGAAGAAAACTCTCAGAAATTTGTGACAAAATGTTTCAAATTGTTACACAGTAGTTGTTACGTAATTTCAGTAATATTTCTAACGTTTTGATTGGTTGAGTTTTTTTAATTTTGAAATATGATGGGTTGACACTTTCTATGATCTTTGATCATTTTATACAGATAGTTTAGAATTTTTAAAACCTGAAGAAGCACAAAAATGTGCGAAAACGTTTGTTTGAATTTACAATTTTAAGGCATTCTCAAAATAATTGTGAAGTTGTCACTGGTTGAATTTTTTGAGTTTTGGAATAATGATGTGTATGACAGTTTTCATGGTCTTTAATCATAATAATAATAATAATAAAAACAAAGGATTTAGGACTAATCCAAGGGTTCGCATAAAACCCAGTGATTGGGAGGTTCAACGTTCGTGTTTCAGTTGTTAAAGTTAAGTTTCTTCAAATCTCTACAGTTGTTGCAGCCACATAATATCCGCCAAGTGCATGAATCTGCTTCGTTGTAGCGGGTTTTGAAGACCTTCGTATATACTTCCAGCAGTTTAATTTTGCATCCTGGATCAAAGATTATGTCAAATTTGAAGTAATCGTTAAAAAGGTTGGCCAGACGGCAAGCTCGAAACCAGTAATCTGATTCACACTTCTTCAGACGTATTTGTTGGCAGGCAAAATTTCGTGTTACTTGTGTTCTTCGAGTACCGATGTCTGTGATGGTTACTTGACTACGCCAGTCTATGTCAATTTTTCCGGTTAGTATTTTGGCAAACAAGAGAATAACATGAAGTTCTTGATATAAGGAGATTGGAAGGATATCGAGTTTCAGGAGCTTATCCTTATAGGATATGTTGTTTGTGATGAAGATCCATGATACTGCTTTTCGCTGGATACTTTCAAGAGTACCTAAGTCGCCTTTTGATGGTTTCCAGAGGGCTGATCCGTAGTTTAAAATTGGCACAACATAACAGATATATGCGTTCTTTCTGGTCCAAAACGTCGCTTTTGAAAGATTCCGTTTTAGGATGAAGAGAGCGTTCAAGGCTTTTTCGGTCCTTTTCTTTGCATGCAGAGTCCACGAGAGTGTGTCATTTACGAGAATTCCCAGATCTTTCATACATTCAGTTGTTTCAAATTCATGGTTTGGCAGTGCAATAGGAGCTGTACCTTTAATGCAGAGCACTTTACTTTTTCCTAAGTTCATTGACATGAAATTTTCGTCACACCACCGCCACAGTTTTCTAACGTCTATATTCAGTGTTAAAGGGTTGTCGCCTACAATTTTGTAGTCATCAGCATAACCGAACGATTTGGACATGACACATGATGGAAGATCGTTTATGAAAACCAAGAAGAAGAAGAGCGGTCCGAGGATGGAGCCTTGTGGTACGCCACTGAATACTTCTAATTCATCTGAAACAGTGTCATTTAGTCTCACAGTTTGCTTCCCTTTATAGAGGTAGCTTCTTAACAGATTCAAACAGTTTCCACCAATCCCCAGAGCAGCCAACTTTTGTATGAGAAGCTCATGCGTGACTTTGTTAAACGCTTTCTCGAAATCTATATAGAAGATATTCAGATAGGAGCAGTTTTCAGACTCTAAGCAGCTATAGATTTCATGTAGATATTCTATAAGGTTCGTTATAGTTGATCGTTTGGGTCTGAAACCATGTTGGGTTGATGCCAGAGTTAGGTAAACAATTGGAGTCAGCTTCTCGAAAATCAGTTTCTCTAGCAGTTTTGAAACTGTTGAAAGCAGGCTGATAGGCCTGTAATTACTCACATCTTGTTTATCTCCATCTTTGAGTATTGATGCAATTTCACTGACTTTCCATTTTTCCGGAAATCGGGCTTTATTTGCGATGAGGTTAAACAGTAAGTGCAGTGATTTCGGCAGTGACTTGGAGAGACTCTTCAGAAGTAAGTTCCCGATCTTATCCGGTCCTTTGGCTTTATTTACGTCCAGTAGTTGCAGAGCGTTTTCTATTTCATCGGTCGTAAAGTGAATCTGATTTAGTAGGGTGCTATTTTGTTCGCCTATTTTCGTAGAGTAAGTCTTTTGAGTGAACACTGATTGAAAGTATTCGTTGAATAATATTACCTTTTCAATATCTGTATTGGCAGTTCTTTGATCGAAAAAAATTTCGGAATGGATAGTGTTCGACTTGGTGAGCGACTTCAAGTATCTCTGTATGTCGCTGAATTTGCCTTCCTTGAAGAGCGCCTTCTCATGTAGATGCTGGTCATTTTGAAGCGACAGGGTGAGCTCAGTTTGTAGACATTCGATTTTGATTTTGTTTGACGGCGTGGGCTGCCGTTGTTGTTTCAATTGAAGTGTTTTTAACTTCTTGATGAGGTTTGAAGAGTTACCACTTACCCATGGAGCCAGTTCAGACCTATGTTTCGTAGTTATTGTAAGAAGATCCTTTAATATTTCATGCAGCCACTTATACCAAAGTTCAACCATCAAGTCCACGTTGCTCATGCAGTATGGTCGGAAGGGATGTTGGAGAATGAACTCATTAATTTCTTTCCAGTTAGCTTTCTTGTATGCAAATATACCGAAATCTAGCTTTTGTTTGGGAGACGGTGAAGAGATATGTACAGGTCGGATATCAAACGAGACTTTAGCTTGATAAGGTTTGTGATCAGAATTGAAGAGACTTCTCAGATGGTTATCAATGACTATGCTTGTCACATACTGGGGTTTATTGCATAAGAGAACATCCAGTGACCTTCCGTCCTGGGTTTTTATGAGTTGCTGAAAATTTGATTCACATAGTTCATTGAGGATTTTTTGCTCGAAGAGAGATGTTGACGTCATTGAGGGCCAGTGTGTAGATGAAAGATTGATGTCTCCAGTTATATATGAGCAAACAGCACTGTTTTCGAACTGTTTTCGCCTAATGAACTTTAGGAGCTCAACGATGTCCGGAAGAGTCCATGTGTACGCACTGTTTGACGGGGAGCTGTAAAGACAACATATTAGGAATGTTTTATTTAAGCTTATACGAATTATCACACAGTCTTGAAAAATTGAGTCAGTTTGAGAGCTTGGAATGTTTTTGCTTACTGCTATCAGAACACCGCCATGCTTTGTCAACCCTTTATCAGATAGTCTGTCTTTTCGATGTATCGCATAGTTGGTTAGAATCAGACCTATATCGCTAATTGCTCTCTGTGAGCCACGTTTCTGTTAGGCAGATAATTTGATAAATATTTTTCACTTGAACGGCATTGGAGAAATTTGTTCGGCGTTGGTATTCAAGTATACTTCTCACATTGTAAATTAGTATATTTATGAAAGCTGCTAGTCATTCGTCCGCCACGGGAAGCTTCTCTTTTGTCCACTTTGCGCCCTGTCGAATGAACAGGGTTGCGTCACGAACACGCAGATTTTTCGGATCGGTGCCTTTATTTATCAGTTTTCGTCGTCTCACAAGAGCTAAGTTTTCAAGGTCAGCTTCTTCTTTTGTCAGTTGTTTGCTGAGAAAGATTGGTTGACTGAAAGTTTTCAGCTTTCTCGCCGATAGCAGTACCATTCGACGCTGATATGCATTTGGAACTTTTAATAGGATAGTTCTCGTTTTGTTCTCTTCATATCGGCCAAGTCTTATGACGTCGCCTATAATAGCATTGACTTCCATATGGGTTAGTAGTTTTTGAACTTCTGCAAGGTCGTGTTCTTGGCGTACTCTTGCTTCTTTTTCCGTTGATTCTTGTGATTTGGTAATCGGACTATTTTGGGCTGGTTGCCCGGAATCGGGCGGTTTCCTTGTGAGAAGCGTTTTGTTTTGATTTCAGACACAGTTTTACTGAGGTCAGTCATTTCGGTTTCAAGGTTTTTCATCTGACTTTCTTGGTGTTCATTTGAGACCGTGTTCACATGGGCAGATTGTGCTAGCTTTTCGTGGCGCTTCTCTTTGATACACTTGTTACAAAGAAGTAAGGCATTTTTTCCGATAGCCAGTACTCCATTGACATCCGCTTCACTCAGGCCAGTACAATTTTTAGTCAGATGCATTCGACAACCACAGACGAAGCAGTCGAATGAACTTTCATTTTTCAGGATTTTCTCATCACAGGTGAAGCATGAATCAGAGATTGATTTGACTCGATTTCGAGTGTTATGTTTAGACATCTTTGAGGGGCTCAGAGCCAGAGACTCAATAAGCGCACCTACCTGTTTAGTATTTTAGTCTTTTCGCCTCGCGTCTCTCTCCAGCTGATCTTCGCTTGGTACCACGTGTTTTGAAGATCCGTTTGATGTTGGGGTAGTAGTGCAGTACAGTGGCCAAAGTACGTAACTCAATGTCAGAATGCTGATGAAATCTGCGATACTCAGCAAGCACCGATTCGTCAATTTGTTCAGACGCGCTGATAACGTGCTTTGTCACGTCAATGACGTAACAGTCCAAGGCCTTCACAAGGTCGTCAAAGATGCATTCGACAGCCACAGACGAAGCAGTCGAATGAACTTTCATTTTTCAGGATTTTCTCATCACAAGTGAAGCATGAATCAGAGATTGATTTGACTCGATTTCGAGTGTTATGTTTAGACATCTTTGAGGGGCTCAGAGCCAGAGACTCAATAAGCGCACCTATGTAAAGAGTAAATCTAAAAACAACTTCAGTACTTATAGGGAGGGGCTCAGAGCCAGAGACTCGATAAGCACGCCTACCTGTTTAGTATTTTAGTCTTTTCGCCTCGCGTCTCTCTCCAGCTGATCTTCGCTTGTTACCACGTGTTTTGCAGATCCGTTTGATGTTGGGGTAGTAGTGCAGTACAGTGGCCAAAGTACGTAACTCAATGTCAGAATGCTGATGAAGTCTGCGATACTCAGCAAGCACCGATTCGTCGATTTGTTCAGACGCGCTGATAACGTGCTTTGTCACGTCAATGACGTAACAGTCCAAGGCCTTCACAAGGTCGTCAAAGATGCATTCGACAGCCACAGACGAAGCAGTCGAATGAACTTTCATTTTTCAGGATTTTCTCATCACAAGTGAAGCATGAATCAGAGATTGATTTGACTCGATTTCGAGTGTTATGTTTAGACATCTTTGAGGGGCTCAGAGCCAGAGACTCAATAAGCGCACCTACCTGTTTAGTATTTTAGTCTTTTCGCCTCGCGTCTCTCTCCAGCTGATCTTCGCTTGGTACCACGTGTTTTGAAGATCCGTTTGATGTTGGGGTAGTAGTGCAGTACAGTGGCCAAAGTACGTAACTCAATGTCAGAATGCTGATGAAATCTGCGATACTCAGCAAGCACCGATTCGTCAATTTGTTCAGACGCGCTGATAACGTGCTTTGTCACGTCAATGACGTAACAGTCCAAGGCCTTCACAAGGTCGTCAAAGATGCATTCGACAGCCACAGACGAAGCAGTCGAATGAACTTTCATTTTTCAGGATTTTCTCATCACAAGTGAAGCATGAATCAGAGATTGATTTGACTCGATTTCGAGTGTTATGTTTAGACATCTTTGAGGGGCTCAGAGCCAGAGACTCAATAAGCGCACCTATGTAAAGAGTAAATCTAAAAACAACTTCAGTACTTATAGGGAGGGGCTCAGAGCCAGAGACTCGATAAGCACGCCTACCTGTTTAGTATTTTAGTCTTTTCGCCTCGCGTCTCTCTCCAGCTGATCTTCGCTTGTTACCACGTGTTTTGCAGATCCGTTTGATGTTGGGGTAGTAGTGCAGTACAGTGGCCAAAGTACGTAACTCAATGTCAGAATGCTGATGAAGTCTGCGATACTCAGCAAGCACCGATTCGTCGATTTGTTCAGACGCGCTGATAACGTGCTTTGTCACGTCAATGACGTAACAGTCCAAGGCTTTCACAAGGTCGTCAAAGATGCATTCGACAGCCACAGACGAAGCAGTCGAATGAACTTTCATTTTTCAGGATTTTCTCATCACAGGTGAAGCATGAATCAGAGATTGATTTGACTCGATTTCGAGTGTTATGTTTAGACATCTTTGAGGGGCTCAGAGCCAGAGACTCAATAAGCGCACCTATGTAAAGAGTAAATCTAAAAACAACTTCAGTACTTATAGGGAGGGGCTCAGAGCCAGAGACTCGATAAGCACGCCTACCTGTTTAGTATTTTAGTCTTTTCGCCTCGCGTCTCTCTCCAGCTGATCTTCGCTTGGTACCACGTGTTTTGAAGATCCGTTTGATGTTGGGGTAGTAGTGCAGTACAGTGGCCAAAGTACGTAACTCAATGTCAGAATGCTGATGAAGTCTGCGATACTCAGCAAGCACCGATTCGTCGATTTGTTCAGACGCGCTGATAACGTGCTTTGTCACGTCAATGACGTAACAGTCCAAGGCCTTCACAAGGTCGTCAAAGATGTACGGAGCTCCTACTCGTTGACATGTGACAACGCAGAAGAGATTGGGAATTGTTTTCAGAGTCGCGATGAGTTGATCATCCGTTTGGGGAATGTTATTCTTTTTTGGATGTGATGTTATTGTGTTGTTGAGTAGGTCATGCCACAGTATAAGGTTACGTTTCCTCAGCTGGGTTGACGTTAAATAATCGTAACAATAGTTTGCTGTATTAGGGTCAAGATTTAGGCCGGGTAAAGAATGAACAGAATCGGCAAGCTTATGTTGTTCAGATTCGTCAAGTTTTGCAATGGAACGGCTAAGAGAGCTTGCTGCTACTATTTTGATCATAGAAAAGTAGAGATAGTAAATGTATATAAAGACAAATAAATTGAAATGAACTCAGCTGATTGTAGTTGGGATGAGAAATAGAGCTAGTCTTCCAGACTGTAGGTTCACCCTGTTTGTTCCTGAGTGTAATCCAGATGGTATCGCTGTGAATAAACTTTCCAACGATTTGTACAGACAGTCTAGATTTTTGAAACATGAAGATGCTCAAAATAATGCGAAAACGTTTGTTTGATTTTCCGATTTGAACGCATTGTCATTTTTTTTAAGATAATCCATGAGTGTCTCTGAATTTCAGTTTGAAAATTGGCAAAAAATTGTCCTCCGTTACGGATAAACATGGCCAAGTGCAAACTTCTCGCATATAGTTGCTGAAAGTACCACTTGTTTTGACATGCTCAATTGAGTCGTGCTGTATTTGATAGGTGCGACATCAGTTGACCAAGCATAAATTAATCACAGTTTTTTTGTCCACAGGCATCTAACTTCCAGCTAATCAGGCGTTTGTTCTAATGCTCACTTCAGACCGACAACTGCTTTACTTAAACCTCCATCTGTCTCGTTTGCATTTCGAATCTTCTGAGATGCACAAATGCATGGAATGACCATTAGCACAAGTCTTTTCCTGTCATACTCTTGTTATAGTCAAGTTATTTCCAACTAGAACATAACTTGACAGCCTAATTGTTGTGATAAACTTATTAAATAGATTTGTTATGTTTGATGTTTGTGCCTGTATGTGGAGCGCCCTCTAAAGGATTTTAGAGACAGGTCTGTCAAGTGGCTTTCTGTGGGGAAGTGGGGAACTGCAACTGGCTTGAGAAGTCTGGTGGTGCGCCGCTGAACCTACTGAGCTCGGGTGAGATTGTTCCTTGTTTTTGATTTTTTACCTTTATGCTGCCTTTTAACCTTTTAAATTAATTTAGTTGTCTTTTTTTTTTATTTGCTGATTTGTAAAATTCCCACTAGCCGCTTATCATGGGTTAGTTCAGTCCCCTAAAGTCCAGTCAAAATCCTTTTTTTTTACCTTTATGCTGCGTCAAGATGAGGAAAAACAACAAAGAGTGTACAAGCAAAGATTGCTTAAAACCTTCAGGACTGATAAATTGGATTAGATGTGATTGTTGTTCTAGTTGGTATCATATCAGTTGTGTAAATATTTCTCTTAGCGACTCTAAGAAAACCCAATGGTTTCAGTGTCCTTTATGCGTTGATGTAAAATCTGTTAATAAAGCAACAATAGGTAATGATTTAGTGCTAGACAATTATGTTAATACAGCCATCTCAAATGTCCGAGTACTCAAGAGAGTACCAAAAGACTCGCGTGTTCCCTTGGCGGAAAGTCTGTCGGACAAAATAAATGACATCGTCTACAATGTAGAAGATGTTACAAAATGGCTAATTTTTTTAACGTCGTTCTTGTTTTTTTTGGAGCAACCGAAAAGAAGTGGACGCAAACAGACCACAAGCCTGAGCTCTTTGATAAATAAAAAAATTCGAGCAAATGACGTGTCACTTCCAAAACCCCATCCCCAAGTTTCAAGCCCGCCTCTGAGTGACCTCGAGCAGAGAATAAAGTTAATAAGTAGTAAGCTCGATGAAGGAAATGTAAAGGGAGGAATAAGGCTTGCTGCTTCGGATGACAAAATAGCTCCTTTTTCAACTGATAACTATCAAAAATTGTTATCTAAGCACCCGCAGCGAGCCAAATTTTCAGCTCCAAATCCAGAAAAGTTGGATAGTTTTTTCGTAACCGATTTCGACCTATACAAAGCGATAATGTCCTTTCCAAACGGATCAGCAGCAGGTCCTGATAAAATATTTCCTCAAATTTTTAAAGATCTTGTTAGTAAGTCGAATGGCAGTGCAGGACTTAATTTTCTGAAATCGCTTACTAAGCTGATAAACCTCATTGGAGATGGCAAAATACCGGAACCACTAAGACCTTTCTTTTTTGGCGCAAAGCTTATCGCCCTCATAAAAATAGACGGAGGGTTGAGACCGATTGCCATAGGCAACACGCTGAGACGTATCGCGTCTAAATGCGCTGGAAGCAAGGCCCTCTCCGAGCGACAAAATTTTTTCGGAAACGTACAGGTAGGATGCGGGACCAAACGAGGAGCAGAAATAGCTGCGCACTCGTTTCGAAACCTAATTGAACGCGACGACAATCCAAAATGTATTGTTCTTTTAAAACTAGATTTTAAGAATGCCTTTAACTCTTTAAACAGAGAAACAATGCTGAATCATGTTTTTTCAAATCGCCCCGAGTTATATAATTACACCCATTGCGCGTATGCTAAACCTAGTTACCTTTTTTACGGAAGCTCTGTCATAATGTCAGAAGACGGAACTCAGCAAGGTGATCCTGAAGCCCCACCCCTTTTTGCGGAAACAATTCATACACTAGTCAAACAGTTGGAGTCGAAAATTAACATCTGGTACTTAGATGATGGGAACTTAGCCGACGACTATAAGGTAGTACTCCGGGACCTTAAAAACATTCTGAAATCGGAACAAATTTACGGCCTGAGCTTAAACACTGAGAAGTGTGAACTTTGTTTTTTGGGACCGACTACTAGTACACAGTATAATTCAATTTTAACACAATTTCGAAAAATATGCCCCAAAATAAAAATAAAAACAAAAGAAGAACTCCTCATTTTAGGATCTCCAATCGGCGAACTTTGCCGAAAAGAATTGCTCGACGAAAAAAATTAGGGAGCTTGAAAAAATCTTGGATGTCATTGACAAACTAGACGCCCATTATGGTTTTTACCTCCTGAAAAATTGCTTTAGCATGCCAAAACTCCTTTATTTTTTGCGTACGAGCCCTTGTTTTTTGCAAAATGATTTTTTGGAACGCTACGATAAATTACTAAGAAATTCGTTATGCAAGGTCACTAACGTGAAAATGGATGATAACCAGTTTTTACAAGCAGTTCTCCCGGCAGCCAAAGGTGGCTTGGGCGTTTCTTCCGCTCGTCTACTCGCTTTACCCGCTTTCTTAGCCTCAGCAGTAGGAGCGAAAGATGCCTTGAGCGAAATCTTTGGTTTGGAGCATGTGGATGGAACCTATGATGATGCGCTTAAACGGTGGTTTGACCTTGGAAAAATTGAAATGGCTCCGGAAAATGAAATCCAAAAAAATTGGACGGAGCCAATTTTTGACAGCGAAATTGCAGACTTGATTTTACGACTCGAACCAACGGACGTGAAAAGGTTCAACGCGTTCCAAGATAGATTTGGATCCCAATGGTTGAACGTCATCCCCTGCAAAAATTTAAGGTTAAAACTGTCGAACCAACAACTCAGAATTGCGATAGGACTTCGATTAGGATCAAAAATATGCGAACGGCATAAATGCGTGTGCGGAAAAGACGTTACCGAGGATGGTTGGCATGGTCTTTCTTGCCTCAAAAGTGCAGGGAGATTCTCTAGGCATTCAAACCTGAATGCCCTTATAAAGCAGAGTCTATCATCTACTCACATTCCGTCTGTTTTAGAACCACGACACCTCTACAGGACCGATCAGAAGCGACCAGACGGTTTGACCCTCGTTCCATGGGCTGATGGTAAGCAGCTCTTGTGGGATGTAACGGTAGTAGACTCCTTAGCTCCTTGTAGGATTAACGCCGGGTCTGTTTGTAACCCTGGTACGGCTGCCGCTGAAGCGGAAGAACGAAAAATTGACAAATATAAAGATCTTGTAAATGATGGATATCTTTTTCAACCGCTAGCTTTTGAAATTCAGGGCGCGGCCGGCCCCAGCACAGAAGTTTTTTTGAGCAAGCTTTGTAAGAACCTAAGCATATGCACTGAGGAACCCAGAGCAGGCAGCTTTTTAAAACAGAGAATCTCCCTGGCAATACAGATTGCGAACGCCGCTTGCGTACTCGGAACAATAAATGACAAAATAACTTTCGACGAAATTTTTTACTTGTAACACTTGTATATTATATTATCTCGTGTCGAGTTGCGTGTTCTTATTGAAGAAGCGTAACCCGTATCGATTTTAAATGAAAAGGACTTAAACACTTGACATCTTCTTTTATCATTATCACTTCCATATCTAGAAAATTCCAAGGATTTTGACTGGAATACATGATGAAGGGACTCATGACTGTAACCTCGGTTACTATGATACTTTTGACCTTCTGATTACTGTTAAAATAAAAAAAAAAATAAAAAAGTTATTTCCCATTTACGTTTTGTGATGTCTACTATTGTGACTAAATTTATCGGAGCCATAAGAAGTCAACTGACAGATAATATAAAATCAACTAGGTGAGGTCAAGGAGTTGTCTAGGCGAGGCAGGTTGAATTGATAATCAATCAATATTCAATTCATGAGAAGAAGTCATTGATATAAATCAACTTAATATCATAATTAAATTGTTTCCATTAAAATAAATTTCAGTATATATAATAGTATAAATCAGTACGGATTGTGTGTATATATAATTGAAGAAGATGAAGAAGAAATAATTCCCTTAAATTGAAACGTTCGGGGGGTGGGGCTATAATGGAAAAGGTGGGGGGGGGGCTATAATGGTAAAGGTTGGGGGGCTTTAATGGGATAGCCGAAAGAAAGAGCGTTAGCAGAAGGAGCGTTAACTTTGGCATTCTTTGGTTATTTCAATTAGCTCCTTAACATTTAGTGTGCCAGTCGGTCATATTTGGAAGTTTGACCTTGAGAGAAGCAAAAAACACTTGATTTTGGAGTGAGATTTAATTTTTCAAAGTTTCGAATGGAACCTGTCATGCACGATTTTCTCGCGAGAACTGAAAATCAGAAAAAGAGATCAGAACAATTTCAGAACGATTAAGACACACACGCGGGAAAGTCGCAAGAAAAAACAGTAGGAAATTGCTATTCGCAATTTCCATCACTATAATAATCGAGAGTAGAGCTGTCCCATCTGTGACAGAGACGAGAGCATTCCCTCGAGTTGGATTATTACGATTGGAATACTATTCTTGACTGGACCAGAGTGAACCTTCGGTGGAAAGGTGGACAGCTAGAGTGTCCCAATGGTTCACGAGAACTTGCAGTCTAGAGTAAAAACTTGTTCTTGTTGAAACTGACTAACATTAAACTCATATTAGTTACTTTATTAATTCTTGAGTTGTTTACCGACTTATTTACTTCCTGGTTCTTGAGCGTGCTACAATGTGAGTACTTAATTTAAATTCTAGAGTGTGTTTTATAATTGTTATGTTGAGGTAAGGCGAGTTTTAGGTTGATCCATCTGAAATGGATCAAAGTTCCACTGTCTAATAAAAAGTAACTTAACGGATTGTTCCAACCCGGTTTTTAACGGCGTTCATGTATTTTGGGTATCTAGAGACCTAAGTATGGGGACGTTTCTAATTCTAGAGTGGGGGGATATTTTAGTAGTAGCCTTTAAGCTGTAACGGGTCGTAGTCTCATGTCACAAGCGAACCGAACTGGCTCCGACCGTTCTTGAGGTAGAAAAACACAAGAGATAGTGTCCCTGACCCTTGAGCCAGTGGTTATAGGGCCTATTTTTCTTAAGCCTCATGTGTGACTGCAGTAGACGAATGTTACATAGTGTTTTTATGGCGCTCCTGGGTGTTTACGACATCAAGACTACGGAGTCGAACCCACTTGAGACAGCTTCGGGCTGAATGCCCATTCTAGAGTACCGGCGGTACGGTTCGACAGGAACGTGCAAACCTTCCG